GGGGGAACGCCTGGCATTAATGGTGGTATGCCTACAATTTCAACAACAAAATAACCCACAAATTAATATTGAAGACTCAGGAAGAAAGTAATACTTCTACACATCAATTAGCCCCTAAGAAAGTTACATTTTAGAAAACCTATGCACTACCTGCTCCTGGAACTGGTGGCAGTCCTGGTTGCGCCATTGGAGGTATATAACCTTGTTGGGGCTGAACAGGCTGTGGCTGAAATGAAGTTGAAGCGGCAGACTCATCATCATCATATTCATCAGAATCATCTTGTTGTTTCTTTTTTTGACTCTCTGTTTAAAACAAGTTTTAATTAATTTTCCATAGAATAAAAAAGATAAACAAAGCAAGTTCAGAATATTTGACTTTTTAAAAAAGAATTATTTTAGGGACCAGCAGTTAACGTAATGGCTATGTCGCTGGACTCCCATGTAGTCGATCGCGATCCGAGCCCCAGACCCGGTGGCGTGTGTGTGTGTGCCCAAGAACCAAAGAGGAGAATGGAGAAGGGACTGCTGCATGACCATCCCCCCTGGGAGGTGATTCCTCGCTTTCTGTCTCTCTTTCTTTCTGGTGAGCACAGACGCCCTATAGCAAAAACCTCTCCAAAAAAAAGAAGAAAAAAAAAAAAAAGAATTATTTAACTTTATTTATTTTAATTTGAACAGAGAGAGAAGGGGTGGGGGAGTAAGAAAGCAAGTCTCCAGGTCCGTGCGGCTTGCTTTCTTCTCCAAAAGTTAACAGTTAATAGTTTTATATTCTTCAGAAGTGTTTTCACTTTTTAAATTTTTTTTTTTGGGGGGAGGGGGGATTTTGCCACAAGGCACCTTACACTCAACTGGAGACAGAAAAAGGGCAAGTGAGAAATCACCCCCTGGGGGAAAGGTCACAAAATCCCTTTTCCTACATTTTCCTTTCAGGATTTTTGGCATGAACGCACATGCACCTGGTGTGATTTTCAAGTCACTGCATCTGGGACTCAAACCACAGTAAGCCATGTGGGAGTCCAGTGTCTTCCTTACCACATCACCTGCTGGCTCATGTTAACTCTGTATTAAGCAAGGTTAACAATCCTTCTACATGCACGTGAAAGGTAAAAATGATTATCTAAGTCAGTTTATTTTTAAAAAGTTTTTGGGAACCACAGTTGACGTAATGCCTATGTCGCTGGACTCCAATGTAGCTGACCGCGGTTGGAGTCCCAGACCCAGTGGTTTAAAATCATGCCAGGTACGTGTGCGTGCGTGCCCAAGATCATGAGAGGAGAATGGAAGAGAAGGGGTTGCTGCATGGGCAGGGTCTCTCCAGGAAATGATTTCTCGCTTCCTCTGTGGCGAATGCATGCGCCCTATAGCAAAAAACTCTCTCTCAAAAAGGTTTTCTACTCCGTTCTACCCAAGAGGTAAACTATGACAAAGAAAGGGCCAGAAAGTGGCATGAAACTTAAAGTGGCTGAATACCACATGGCCAAATGAGCACAGTTCATGTCCCAGCTTGACAATCATGCAAGGGCACATATGTGTGTGTGCCCCAAATCCTAAGAGAACAAACTGAAATGTGGCCACACACACCCCTTTTTTTTGAGGGGGGAGGGCGGGAGGGGGTTGACCTCTCACTTTCACTGTCTCTTTCTAGCAAGCACAAGTGCCCTATAGCAAAACTTAGAGAGAGAGGGGGGGGGGGGGATAGAGAAGGAAGAAGGTCTACCCTTTCCATAAAGATTTTTTTTGGGGCGAGGTTTCTGCACTCACCAGACAGAGACAGAAAACGAGAAGACACCCCCAGGGGGGATGGTCACACCACAATCCACTGTCCTCCATTCCCCTCTCGGGATCTTGGGCACACATGCACATGCGCCCAGCATGAATTTTAGCCACTGGGTCCGGGACTTGAACTGTGGGCGACTATATGGCAGTGCAGAGACATAGCCATTATACTAATTGCTGGTCCTTCCATAAAGATTTTTGATAACAAAAGACTTCATAACTGGCTGGGGCAAGTGGGATGGTGGTTGAAGCACTGGAATTCTTTTTTTTTAATCCCTTATAGTATTTTTTATTTCTTTTTTTTCCCTTTCTTTTATTTATTTTTATTTTTCCACAAACATTTACTTTACATAGCAAAAAATTTTAGCTCATACTCCATAATTCTTGACAGTTTACAAACAACATTCAAAATTTCAAAATACTGAATTTTAAAGATAATGTTCAAAATGTCTTATAATTTTGTATAATTTTATAACTATAACAACAGAAGCAGTATGGCCAACCACGATTCAAGCCTCAGACCTTGTGGCTCGCTTCTGCACTTCTGTATGCATGCACATGCTTTCTGATCAAACTGAATAATAAAAAATAAAAATGAGTAATTCTTTTTTTTCTTTTTGGAGAGGTTTTTGTTATAGGGCATGTGTGCTCGCCAGAAAGACAGCAAGATGAAAAGTGAGAAATCACCCCCGGGAAGGATGGCCACCTTGCCACCCCTTCTCCTCCAGTCTCCTCTCAGGATCTTAGGTATGCATGCACATGCACCTGTCATGAGTTTAAGCCACTGGGTCCGGGACTCAAACCGCGGTCAACTACATGGGAGTGCAGTGACATAGCCATTACGTTAACTGCTGGTCCCAAAACTGAGTAATTCTTTAAAAAAAATTTTTCATAGGTAATTAAAGCTTATACCACCTGGATAGGACCTGATTTCAAATCCTAACTCAACCATGACTTAAAAACAAACTACAATGGGGCTGGCAGGTGGCACAGTGGTTGAGATGCTAGACTCCCACATGGCCAACTGCAGTTCAAGTCCTGGATCTGGTGGCTTGCTTTTGCACTTTCCCTTTCTCTCTCTCTGATCAAATAAAAAATAATGACAAAAAAAATTAAAATAAATAATTCTTGTGGCCACCAGGTGGCACGGAGGTAAGGGTACTGGACTCCCACATGGCCGACCATGTTCTGAGTCCCTGCTGGCTGACTCACTCGCTTGCTCTCCTCTCTTTCTCTCCCCCTCCCTCTCCCCTGTTCCTCTGGTCAAATTAAAAAAAATAATAATAAATAAATAAAGTTAAATAACTTTAAAAAAAAAAAAAAAAACCAGCAACCTACAATTAGGTCAGCAGGTGGCATGGTGGTTGAGACACTGGACTCCCATATGGCTGACAATAGTTCAAGTCTCTTGTTTGCTTTCTTAT